GTGGTTTTGTTTTAAGGCACTTTGCATTTATCAATACAATTTCACTGAAATTATGCAATACTAATTTAATATTAACATCTTCTCCTGATAAAACAAAGAAAATATCATTTATAGAAATTAGAGGGGCGGCGACAGCTGTACAAGGTTGCTGCAGTTATCATAATTTTCCATCATAATTATTATTTCTATCATAATTTAATTAACCATTTTCATCTACATTTACAGAACAGAGCACAAATACTGATCAAACCAATAATATAATAAAAATAAATAAAATCATAGAATGGACAAACAAACACAGACAAGGAATGACACTGTCTTCTTCCTTATGTTGATTTTAGCAACTAGAAAGATTTACTGTGGTTTTGTTTTAAGGCACTTTGCATTTATGAATAAAATTTCACCGAAATGATGTAATGTTAGTTGAATATTAACATCTTCAGATAAAACAAAGAAAATATCATTTATTGAAAACAGAGGGGTGGCGACAGCTGTATGGTGATTTTGAGACCCAAAGGTGATGTTCATACAATTATTTACTTTTTTAAGAAACTAAATTAATGTATAATTCCATTAAAAAAAAAAAAAAAAAGTTTGGGTCTGTGGGATGGTTTTCTGAAGGTTGCCTGTCGATTTAAAGATGGTCAGCCATTCTGGATCAAACTTGCTGAGTCCACCATGATTTGATGCTTTAATAAAAAACATCGAGCAGTCAGTTATGTTTTCATGATGTCAAAAGTTTTGATTAATGTGGTTTAACTGTTAGAAAAGAAACTGCTTTTTTTATACATTATGCCATAACAAAAGAGAATGTTTCTGTAGAATGACTCATTTGATACTCAGTATTAAATACAAGCTTTTGAATTAGGCTATTATTTACATCGTACCACCACATGAAAGCATCAAATGACCAAATCAGTCTGCTTACAAATGTCAAAACATTAAAAATAAATAATTTTCACTAGTTGTCTGTAACCTCATGAAATCCTTTACCCTCCACTAAAAAGAAAAAAGTGAACAACATAAAAGCATAAATGTTATCCATGACTATCTTCCCAGCAAAAACTGAAATTATAAGGTCTTGAAAGTTATGATAGTTAGAAAAACCTTGTACAATTGAATTGATACATTCACAATTGAACACTAAAATTTCAACCCAAACAAAAACAAGCAGCACAGATTGTTTTTATTAACTATAAATTTCTCCACATGATTTGGATTAATGTGCAGCACGCTGGCTCAGTGGCTCGCACTGTCACCTCACAGCAAGAAGGTCACTGGTTCGAGTCCCTGTTGGGTCAGTTGGCATTTCGGTGTGGAGTTTGCATGTTCTCCCAGTGTTGCCATTGGTTTTCTCCCGGTGCTCTGGTTTTCTCCACAGTCCAAAGACATGCGCTATAGGTGAATTGAATAAACTAAACTAGCTGTAGTGTACGTATGTGAATGTGAGAGTGTATGGATATTTTCCAGTACTGGGTTGTAGCTGGAAGGGCATCCGCTGTGTAAAACATATGCTGGATACGTCGGTGGTTCATTCCGCTGTGGTAACCCCTGATGAATAAGAATACTAAGCTGAAAGAAAATGAATGAATGAATGATTTGGGTTACGCTGTTATTATGTCTTGTGTTAATTCAAGTCTCATTTAAAATAGTTGCTTGTTTTTTTTTTTAATTTCAGTTTTGCTTTTTGAGTCCATATCATGGCTGAAATCTAAATTAATTTAAAGTGTACACAAAAAAATCAGGGTTGAAATAAATAAAAAATGTTTTCAAAGTAATCTCAAGACAAAAACGGATGTTGTTCAGTAGTTTTAATATAACTTTGATAAAAAATTTTGATCCACTTCACATGTTAACTCCTGTATACTACAGCACACTCTCAGAAAAATGGTACAATGTTGTAACAAAGAAGGTACAAACCCTTGTCACTGGGGCAGTACCTTTTTATGTAGCAGAATTGTACCTTAAGATAAAGAAACAAATTTGTACCACTGCAGTTTGTAACTTTAAACGACATGATTTATACCATGGGAAACCAAAATATACCTTTGGTTTTTAAATGCTGCAGATACAATATTATACCTTCAGCAAAGGTACAAATCTGATCCATGAAGGTACCACACTCTCAGAAATAAAGGTACGAAAGCTGACACAGGGGTGGTACCTTTTTATAAGATAAACATAAAGGGTCCATATTGGTACCTAAAAGCATACATTAGTACCTAAAAGATTTAAGAGGAACACTTTTGTACATTTAAGGTACTAGTATGTACCCTTAAGGTATTTATTATGGACCTTTAACGTACAAATTTGTACCTTTGGAAAATATACCACCCCAGTGACAGCTCACGTATCTTTATTTCTGAGAGTGCACCACAGTGTCAAGACACTTTGCTGTTTTGAGAGCACGAGTATGACTGTTGTACCATGGTGTAGTTTTATACACCACTCTCTAGCCTTTTTTTAATTTGATGGGTGCCACAGTGTTTAGTGTGTTGGTAAAGATGGCATCCATACTGCTTGTTACTACATCAAGATCATTTGCGTTTGCGGCTACATTTCGAAATAGAGAAAGTTCAGGTAAGTTATTTATAAATTCATCTTTAGTGAATGAAACAATAGTTCTATCAGGGCAGTATATCTGAGCGGATCAGCTAATTAGACACAGCTTAAGCAAACACAGCTTATATAGTAAGAGGTAGAGGTCTGTTATATCATCACTTTTTGGTATAATGTCTACATCAATGAGCTCAATACTTTAAGAAAGAATTAGATCTAATGTATGATTTAAGCAATGGGGTTGGACCAACAACCTTTTGCTTTATCCCAAGTGAATGAAGTAAATATATAAGCGCGAGCCCTAATGAATCGTTAGCATCATCTGGATGTGGCTGTTAAAGTCTCTTAAAGTTAGTATTTTATCAGTTTTAACTAGTAAGTTAGAAATAAAATCAGAAAACTTATTTAGAAAATTGACATAGGGTCCAGGGGGTCTATATATAGTGATTTAAGCGACAGATAAAATTTTTCATTATATCTGGAAGCATAACATTAAGCGCAAATACTTCAAAGGAGTTAAACGCAAGTCCGTTTCTCTGGTTAACATTAGGAATATCACTTAAGATTGCTGCAACTCCACCACCCCGACCAGTTTGACGAGCCTCATGCTTATATAAGAATCCTGGAGGAGTTGCTTCCTTTAAGCTAATATAGTCATTTTGCTTTAGCCAGGTTTCAGTGAGACAGAGTGCATTAAGATTGTTATCTGTTATTATTTCATTTATGATGGTGCTAGTAACCAGGGGCTTCATGTATCAACGCTGCGTAACCAACAAAAAAAATTTTGTACAGCAGGTTTCACGCTCACGTTTGGATTTACTAACGATGAAATTAACGTGAGAATGTGAGTTGGTCCATGCGAACTTAAACTCTACAACTTTATATTTTTTATTAATTCTGGAGGACAAACTTGCAAATAACAGTTTTCTCCGGTCTACCTCCAATCAGAGCACCTCCAATCAACATTCTGTGAAGTTTCTCTTCTTGCTTGCTTTTGCTATTTCTTTTTCGTTTGGTTTCGCCAAAGTGGAGTCATTACCATATTTATACGGGGGAGGAGGCAGGTAGGGGTATTGCGCTTGTGCATGTTGCGCTCATTTTCACGTTAATTCGGATGTACAAAGAGAATATGCAAGAGATTCCACGTACGCAATGTTTCATACATCTGAATTTTTTACTGCATAAGCACATTTACAGCTTTGTCCGTACGCAATGCTTTAGTATTAATCCAACACAAGTTTTTGTACATGAGGCCCCTGGTGTTTAGGAGACCAAGCTTGAAGAAATTTAGATTTTCACTTTTTTGCAGTTTTTCCAGTTTGATTCTAAATAGATTTTTTTTTCTAAAGCACACAGTTTGTTTATTTCTTGATCTAATAATACGATGAACAGACACAGTCTCTATGGGGTTAGCCAGATACGCTGTAGTGTGATTTAAGTGGGACGAACAAGAGTCTAAATGGCTAAAATGTGAATTTTGTGAATTTTCACTTACTAGTTGGACAGAACGAAGCATCCTGGAGATGTGGTCCAAAAGGAGTTCAGCTCCAGCTTGACTGGGGTGCAGCCCGTCAGCACGAAAAAGCCTAGAAAAGCTCTTTTCCCAGAAAAGATTTCAGTTAGTGGCAAAGAGCAACTTCTGTTCTTTACACAATGATAATAGCCATTCATTCAGAGCAAAAAGTTAACTGAATTTTTTATTTCCTCGGCGGTTGGTAGGAAGTGGTCCAAAAATGATCTGCGAGACAGGCGAAGTGCGTCGAACAGTCTCAATCAGGCTCCTGAAGTTCCTCTTCAGGATCTCTGTCTATCGCAGCCCAGTGTCGTTCGTCTCAACGTGGAGGGCGACAACTCAGATGTTCTCGCTAGCGCCCAGAATAGTGGGTACCATGGCAGAAACACCCTTGACACGAGCATCGGGAAACTAGTGAGTGTGTATGTTATTGCCTTTAGTGAAAGCAGCGTGGACGCAGCAAACGACAGGTTCACTGATGATAGCCGCATCGCGACATGTCTCATGAAGAGGGGTGTATCAGTTCTCCGTGGAGATCTCGAACACGGGAGGAAGAGATGTTCTGCCCCGAGACCTGGTATGCACCCTACACGGCTGCACCCAGGGACCATGGTAGCCGGAGTGAACGACCCCTGGACGTACTGCATCCTTGGTGCGCTGGGCCTGGACAGAGAAACATGTGGTGTGTGAAACAGGCTTATCTAAAGAGAACCAAAAGCTTTTTATTTGTCAAAAGCACAGAGTGACAGTGACTGTGGACCCACCTGGTTCTGCATTAGAGTTGAGTCGAGTGCAGGTGAGCAGAGATCCAGTATCTGGAATGCAGGTGCTCTAGACACTCAGCAGCAGCAGCAGGGCTTCTCAAAGTACTGCTCTCCACTTCCTGTCTGAGAAACTTCTTCCTGCGCACAAGAGCATTTGTGTTGCTGTACGGATAAATGCCTCATGAACAATCATGCACCAGGAAGATGGCTTTGGGCATCTACATCTGGAGAATTTCAGTGAGAAAACTATTTTACTTTATTAGAGAGGAGTCCGATGTGTATTAAATCCATTCTAGCTCATTTCCAATAGTTTCTAACAGAACAGTTAATCCGACTGCGTGACACAGAAAACTGGATTTTTAAAAAGTATTGCAATAATACATTTAACACTGCATGTCATTCACTATAAATAAACTAGGTCGACAGTACTATATAGTGATAACTAATAGCAGTGGTGAGGCTACATGAGGGCTTGGGGTGGCACTGGCCCTCTCAGATTAAAGGCTGGCCTGCCCAGACAAAAATATTTGAAAGCTAAATAATTCTGCAATAAAAACATAAATGTAATTGAATGTCGACAATTTACAGTACCCTTTAGTTATTGTAGGTTTGTCAATCAAATTTAAAGCCCCCCTCTATTGCTCAACAATGGAACTGTCCAACTGCTGCTACACACTTTGTGCTGATGAGCACTTTTGCTTTTGGCTTAATTTGATTGACTGAGGCAGCGGCTCTGAAACTGAAACTAGAAGTGCTGTTCAGCTGACTTTTAGAATTTGCTGGTCAAGAACATTACAAGCAAGGCCGCTGCTGGCCAAAAGAGTGCCCTATGGGAAATTTTACGGTGGTGCCCCCACAGAGGAACAAAATCACACAGGCATATGTATTTAAACATGTATTTATTTATTTATTTATTTATTTATTTATTTATATACATAAATATGCATATAAACACTTAAAATTATACTTAAACATTCAAATATTTACATAACAAAATAATAGTTTACATAAAAAACACTGACATGTCTTCTGCAAAAACATTCCCAATTTCAAACATTTACAAAAGGTAAGGAATAAAGCCCTCTCTTTACCTGTAGAGTTGGACGGTGCTCAGTGCTGCATCTTGTGTCATATCTGTGCAGCTGCTAATGCCTCTGGAGCAGTGCTGGTCATTCCACCTCATCTTCTTTTGTGACAGCATTAAACCTGCATGTACAATACAGAAGTAATGAGTAATTTACAGGAAAAACTCATGACATACCAATAAAACAATGGGCTAGTCCAGCACTCTTCATAATGTGTCTACACTACAACCAGAATGTGGATTCAACCTGCACTATAATTTATGGTGACAAAAGCTGACCCTTGCTTTCAGAATAAATCAAAGACATTTGTGGTTTTTAAGAATTATTGAGTGTATTTTTAAACAAATAAAACTTTAACATTTAGAAAAAAAAAATCATTAACGAATTCATGCAATAAAAATGACTTCTGGCCTGTGGCTTATAATTTGACTCATTTTATATTATTGGTCTTTCAGAAATCAAAGAATGAGTCAGTTTTGTCATGTCATACAGTAATGTACAAAAATTAAAAACTGGCCTAAAACACATTAATCCACTGATGTAAAGACTAAAGAGACTTTACTGTCATTTCAGTGATACAAGCAATAACAACAGCAGCAGCAATAAGAAATGTATAGAAATAGATAAAACAATAAACAATGATAACTGCAAAGAATTATATTATATATGATTATATAATACAACTATATAATAATAAATAATACATACAGTGAAATAATCGTGCAGTGCATGTGTATGTAAACACAGCAAGAAGGTCGCTGGTTCGAGCCTCGGCTCAGTTGGCGTTTCTGACATGTGGTACAGGTGAATTGGGTAGGCTAAATTGTCCGTAGTGTATGAGTGTGTGTGTGTATGTATGTTTCCCAGAGATGGGTTGCAGACTGGAAGGGCATCCGCTGTGTAAAAACTTGCTGGATAAGTTGGCGGTTCATTCTGCTGTGGCGACCCCGGATTAATAAAGGGACTAAGCCAACAAGAAAATGAATTAATGAATGTGTATGTACAGTAGCTAATGTGCAAACAGAATTGTAAAGTATTGCACAAAAATAATTATGCTTCTGTAATTATCAAGACATGGGGAAAACTCGAAAGATCATAGAACTTGTCCTGTCATAGTTTAAAGCACAATGCACAGCAGCAAAGCAAGAAACTGAACGTGAACAACAACACATAAGGCAGATTTGTGCAGTTGAGGAGAAGTTTAAACGTTAGCCTCACTAATTTACTTGAACAACCAAAAATATAGTTTTCCAGATTCATGGAAGTTAGCTGAAAGTGATGCACGCGACTCATCTTGTACTTTTTTCCTCTTCTCGGCTCCAGATTGCTGTTGTCTTTTCACGGGCACAGAAGGCATCTATGTTGCTAAGAGCCGCAAAGATAAAGTGGACCGGCCATACGTCACATGTTTGTTTTTATGGAAGGCCGTTGGGGCCAAAACGTCTGCAACACTTTAAAAATGAGACTAGTTTAAAAATAACGCGTTAACACGTAAATTGCGTGTTAACACGTAAATGACGTGTTAACACGTACCAACGTGTTAACGCGTAAATGACGTGTTAACGTGTTACGCGTTAACACGTTATTTTTAATATGGAAGGCCGTTGGGGCCCAAACGTCTGCAACAAACGTGTTAACGCGTAATTGCGTGTTAACACGTAATTTACGCGTTAACACGTAATTTACGCGTTAACACGTTGGTACGTGTTAACACGTCATTTACGTGTTAACACGCAATTTACGTGTTAACACGCAATTACGCGTTAACACGTTTGTTGCAGACGTTTTGGCCCCAACGGCCTTCCATATCTGAAGAGCAACTGCAGGACCTCTGATGACGACACCGATATTATACGATTGGCCGAGTTCACCACATGACAACAAACACGTGTATTTCGGGTTTATAATTGGACAAATTCCGATTCAAAAGTTTCAAAACAAACAATTCACTTTTCACACCCTCTCTATCCTGTACACATCTTGCTTATTAAAAGACTACAAATATTTTACTGCAGTAATCATCTTTTGTTAAGTAATCTGGTTATAAAGATTAGCTTATTTGCACAGGTTTATTTTTAACTTTTTTTATACAGACTATTTACTGCATTCATCTCCATGAACGATTTAAATGATATATTTTAGTGTATATTTTAGTGAATAACCTAAATAAGTCTTATAGACTTGAAATAAGAAAATCATCATCATTGATCCTGCCACCCTAAAGCCCTCTTAACAAATTAAGTTAAAGAACTATTTTATTAAATAATTATAAAATGGTTTTATTATTATAATATAAATATATATTTTATTTCCTGTCTAGCAGTTTAAAGGCTGCCTGCTCTTTCTGGGAAACTTCTACATAGCTCACTTATTTTACCTTTTGTTCTTTTCAACACAATCTTTTTGGATAAAAATGTTTTTTTGAAAATTCATTCATTATCCAAAATAATGTCATTTATTAAGACCTAATGAAAACACCTAGTTTTGCTTTTTACATTGGAAATTTTTATATCTATAAACGTACATATATGCAAACCCATTTTTAGCATATTCAAACAAGAAGTATTAGCCTAAAGGTTGATGTTTAACTCCTAGAATTTATGCTTATTGCTTTGTATTTAATAGACCTGTTCGTTTTTATGTTTATATTAACCTCTCATTTCCTCTTATTTCTCTCATGCATTTGTTTTATATTTTATTCACAATTCTCTCTTATTGTTTAAAAAGGAACTACAGTTTGTAGAGACTGTATTCTGTTTTATTTGTAAATGTTTTGTTGTTATAAATAAAAATAACAAAAAAATATGATGACGCCATGTGATCGGTCATCATGACTGCAGCAACTTTAAGTCCCGAAGTGTCCTGCTGTCCGTCTTGACGGCTCCGTTTTCAACTCCGCCCCCGCCTGCGCTCGGCTAATCTCGTTGATCACCGGCTGCAGCTGAGCTTCATGTCGAACGCACCAGCACTAGGTCCATGGAGATTCAAGGAATCGACTCTATTGGAGTCGATTCCCTAATCTACGGCACTCAATCTGGCTGTCAACAAAGCTGCTCATGCGGCCGTTTTCGCCAATTTCAGGTAAGTTTAGTCCTTAAAAGAACTCAAATATTACATACAACTGTTCCCGACTCTTTTCTTACTGGTAACTGACATTTTTCTGTTGAATATTTAATTTATAGAGATGGTTAGAGTCTGGAAAAGTCCGTTAGCGCCTTAGCGTAGGTAACGCTAGCGTACGTACTGAGCTCTTGTTTTTAAAAGTTTTAGCTTTTAATGTCAATGTTTTTTTGTCAATGTTTAATAGGAGGTAGTCTAGTATATAGCCTAAAATATCCACTGTACTGTCAAAAACGAGTCAAAACTCCTTGTGAAAAAGCTGCTTAAACCAGCCAACCAGTATAGACTGTTATTTTCATCTGGAACGTTAGTACATACTTTCACTGGAACGTTAAACTAATAATGATTTTAAAAAGTGCTTTGTGATTCCAGGACTGACAAAATTACCCCCACAACAGAATTGAAGAGATTTTTTTATACTTTATGGGAGCTAGCTGATCACAGAGATGGAGAAAACATGGGTAATACAAGAAAACTTAATAAATCAATTAATGTGTGATTAGTGTGTTAAGGCACATTGTTTGTGCGTTGCTATTTTGAGGAACTAAAATAAACCAACTAATAAACCAGCTGAAAGCAGCGCAAATATCTTTACAAATTAAAACCAATTAAAGGATTAAAATATCACAAAAAATATTATTTTCTACATAAATATAAACACCATGGCCTCCATGTCTTCATCTCGGGGAGCTATTTTCAGTTTATTTGCGATAAATTAACAGCTTTTTTATAATATATTTTTTATTATTGTTTATTATATGCATATTTATATTTGTTTTATTAAAAACAAGCTTAGATTAGTCCATTTGTGGATTTTTGGACTATAGGGGGCATAAGAACAGGATATGTGTTTGGATACAACTCAGTTTTCCGACCACACTTCTATATTATTGCTCAGGGCTCGAAATTAACTTTTTTACTTGGTAGCACCGGTGCTCCCAACTTCAAAAATTTAGGAGCACCAGAAAAAATTTAGGAGCACCCACCAAAAATGATTGAGCACCGCTGCAAATTGTATTTTAAGGGACATATTGTATTTTAAAACAACATCAATTAGGACTAACAAAAACCAGAAACAACTATAATTAATGCTGAGATTACATTGATATTTGTGTGCAATAATTCCAAAATGTGTATGTCTAATAATTCTAGAATATTAATGATGATGAAAATGACAATAATAGTAACAATGAATTACATTTCTCATCATCATGCTGCCTTGAATGTGTTTGAATGTAAGTTATCTGCTATAAAAAAGTCTGTTACTTTATGAAAAATAAATGTATAGTTTGCATCAAACAAAAATGAAGCATTGCAGTAAAATATTTATTTTGTACTGCTAAACAGCATATGTATGCATGTCAGTTTAATAAATAATATTTCTGCTGCAAAACAAACAAAAGATTATAATAAAATATTAAATTCAAGGCTGAAAGCTGCAAAACAGTCATCAGTAACTAAATAAAAAAAATACACATCAAGAAAGAATAGGCAAAAGAAAGTAAGTAAAGTCTCACTTCTATCACTCTTTAAAAGTTTTGGTTTCAGTTTGTGTCAATTTAAATGTTCCGTCTGAGCTGATTTTCATTTTTCTGTGTTTGTGGAAAAGCAGGCGAGTCAGCCGACCCAATTTATGAGCAGGTTGAGCACCGGCGCAATACCGCTGTTTGTTATGAGACGCAGTTTCAGTGTAAACTTAGTAAAGGCGAGCTTCTTTGGCGATGATACAGTATTAGATTTGACTTTTAGCGGACATTTGCGATGAACACGCAGTGAATGCAACACATCGAGATTCGGCCACCTTCTCCGAAAAGCACGTACTCGATTGATCTCAGCTGGCGGATCAATATTCACCACGTGTCATGATCGCTCTCATCTGCGCCTCAACTTTAAGTGGGCAAACCTGTGTGCTTTAAGTTTTCACACTTTAGCCGTTTGCATTTCCCGTGGACATAAAAGCTCCCTCCCTGTCATCTAACAGTGGAAAGCCTTGAGTGATTGACAGCTAATATGAACCAATATAGCGGCAGGGAAGAGCGATTCAGCACGTTTTTAAAAAAAATCAAAACAGGTCGCACTAATGCGCCCAAATATATTATGAGGTCGCATCGATTAATTTTCGGCCGCATATGCGACCAAAATGGTCGCAATTTCGAGCCCTGTTGCTTATTTATTTGTTTGCTGGAAATTAGAATTGAATTAAGAAGTAGTTTGGAAACAAATTTTTGTGCTTAACAAACAAAAATAACTATGTAGGCTAATGGATGTCTTCAGTGGAGTGTGTAACATCGTTTCCTTATCCATGAAAGAGAGAAAGAAAATAGGCCGATTTGAGGAGTCTCGTTCTTTATCCTCACGCTGCAGATGCTCTGTTTAACTGTTTTCTCGCTAGTGAAGCACTCAGTTTTTCCACTTACAAAGACCGCCATGTAAATAGCAAATGCGCCATGGAGCGACATCTGACTCTTAAAGAGAATAGGAGATGAGAATCTGATAGGTTTATTTTGCAAAACACAGCCATAGCTCATTAAGAGAATAAGCACAACCCTGTTAGACCATGTGCCACGGAGCAGATCATATTTTTTCCGTCTTTAAAATAGTAAAAGTGGATACGGAAACACCCTTAATGCTTTTGCACCTTGAGCTTTGGACTTTGCGCCTAGCTTGTTAAAATAGAGCTCTGAAGATGTGAGTAATGATGCTGAAAATTCAGCTTTACATTACAGCCATAAATTACATTTTAAGATTCATTTAAAAAAATATTTATATTTAGACTGTTGACCGATGCCTCACACCTTAATTCATTCTTAAGCCCTAAAATTTAAATATTTTATTTTGTACAGGCACGATACACAACTCATATTCAGTCATATTTTGTCTTTTTCTTTTTTTTTTCCAACGACAGCTCAAAAGGAGCCCAAATGTTCTAGAGCTGCTGAACATCTTTATATGTAAGTAAATTTTTGACTGATGAGCAAAAAATATTTGAGTGGCAGTTCTTTAAAAAAAAGATAAGTGGGATGTAGATATGGAGATTTATATATTTTTAAATTCAAACTTTATTAATTTTGAATTATTTTATAAGACTCAAGCACCACTGTATAAACCTGAAAGTAAAAAATATATATAAATATAAAGTAAGTGAACTTATTTGTAAATATTGTTATTTATGCTTTGTTTCAAGCAGCAGAAAGACAACTGGACGATAGAGGAAGTGACTAAGACATGCACACAAACACAAAGACACAGCATATTAAAAATTAAATTGTTTGATAAATGCTTTATGTTTTCTGCCAAAAAAGCCAATTTTAGTAACATTTTATTGATAAAGCTCTTTCTGTCTGTAACATTCAGAACAAGAAAATAACATTCTGTGAAGGTCCCCAAAATAACGTCCCCCACACCTTTAAAGAACTCAACATTGTGACTTTTTCAGAACGTTTTGGGAACGTTACTAAACAACATCCTTAACACCGCCGGGGGTGTTATGAGAACGTTCTGAGAACGTCACAATTTCCAAGAAAGTATGGTCCCCTAAACATTCTGAGAACGTTTATTCTAACCGAATAAATATGTGGAAAAACTAATATAATATTCACATCTACGTCTGGAAAACAACACTATATAATAACCTAAATATTATATTTTTAGAAAGATTTTTACATGCCGCCAATGTCAGCGATGTCCAAACACTTACTGCCGTTTCTCTTATTGGATGCTTTTTGAACAAATTCTTTTTTAGTATGCCACGAACTCTGGTAACCACAGCAACACCACCGCGCCGGCGCCATATTCAATCTTCTTAAAGGGCCAGTGCACAATTTCCGTCAAGCACTATAGAATATAACAATAGCAATAGTTTTGTCTTATTTTTCAGCCATATAGTAAAGTTGTTTGTCTCTAAAAAATAAAATACAGTACAATGCATAATCATAAACAATCTATATAATCCTCACTTAATAAACAATGCATAATTAATCCTCATTCGAAACAGTAGGAATAAAGCATTTGAAACAACAGCAACAATTAAAAGATATACATAATCATGACAAATTATAATTTTTTCGTTTGAATGGTCTTTTTATTTTATATAACCTAATAAAACTGCATGCAATAGAGGAATTTGACCAGTGAGGCGCTGTAGCGCAACAGCCTACAGCTTAGGAGCTTTACGATTAAATTTAAAAGAAGACAGTCGACATGAAAGAGCAGTGATTGAAGGTATATTGAACTTTTTTTCTCAAAAAACGTTTAAAACCAACTAACATACTGGGTGCATATTTTTAATGATTTGGTTTATATCTTTAGCACATTACAAGTTTCAAACCTCAATCATTCTTATACTGGAAGTGAAATCATGTTCATGTATGTATGTGTTTTACTCGTTAAGATTTTTAACATGGAAAACGGGATAAAACATAAAGAGATTAAACTTGTTTATTACATTTTTATAGGATTGGGGAAAATTAAAATGTATATCAATCTTTATTATTACAACTTCATCAACCTTTTCATTAATCAATAAAAACTAGTGATTAACTGATAAAATGTATATGATTAAGTTATAAAAATAAGATAAAACACACCAAATGTGGCAATAACATCAGAGAACAACACCAAATAGAGCTTTTGCTTATGAATAGAAAATTCATTTCTCTACCAAAAGCCATCTCTAAAGGTGCTTCAGAGAATTTGGCTGTACATCCAATCTGCCCCACAACCGCAGACCACGTGTAACAATACCAGTCCTGGACCTCCACATCCAGCATCTTCACCTCCAATATTATCTGAAGCCACCCACTGGGACATCTGCTGCAACAATTTGTTTGCACAACCAAAGAATTTCTGCACAAAATGTCATTGTCTCAGGGAAGCTTGTCGTCCTCATTGGGGTCTCGACCTGACTGCAGTTTTCCGACTTGGGCAAATGCTCACATTCGATGTTGTCTGACGAAAGGTATTCTCCTCACAGATCCCGGATTTCACTGTACAGGCCAGGTGGCAGACAGCTTGTATGGTGTTGTGCGGATGATTGTTTTGCTGATGTCAGCATTGCGAATCAAGTGCTCATGGCGGCAGTGGGCTTATAGTATGGGCAGCCATATGTTATGGACAATGAACACAGCTGCATGTTATTGAAGGCATTTTAAATGCACATAATTTTAAATGCATTTTAAATACATAGATAATGCAATGAAATCCATTGACCCACTGTTCTGCCATTCATCCACAAGCATCACCTCATGTTGCAGCATGATAATGCATGACCCCATGTTGTAGCTTCTACACACAAATTCTGGAAGCTGAAAATATCCCAGTTTTTGCATGACCAGCAAATTCACTGGACATCTCACCCATTAAGCATGTTTTGGATTCTCTGGGTCAGCATATACGACAACGTGTTCCAATTCCGGCCAATATCCAGCAACTTCACAAAGCTATTCAGGACTTAACAATTAGGACTCTCCGATGGCCCGGGGCCTTTGTGAGAGATGCTTGGGACAGACAGAATGGTTACTGGCCCGATTGGACCAGTGCTGCCTTGTCACTAAATTTTAATTTGCCTGCAACTATTTGTCAATTACATACAAATACAGTCTTAGAATCGGGAAACAATTTGTGCCATATTGCTTTACGGTTCCTATTATCTGATTGAATGTTGTGATCACATAACTTTTTTTTTCATAACCTGATAAAAACCAGTACAGTGAAGAGATGACAACATGACGGCCACATCAAGGTATGAGGCTAAAAAAACATCTTTCTCTAACATTGTGGAAACAGACATTTACATGGGTACAACACCATGATTTTTTATTTTTTTTTGCAGTTTACCATCACTTTTAAGTCAGCCACCTTTTGTTTTGCAATAAAATACCTGCACATATATATATATATATATATATGTATTTTTATCTTTTTTTTTTTTTTTTGGTGTGGGGCCTGTGAAAATTTTGGCGGGGCGAGTAAAAATCTGAACCACTGGTCCAATCGGAACAGTAGAAAATATCTCTAGCGTCGAACCATGCTATTGAAGAGGAGTGGACCAGTATTCCACAGGCCACAATCAACTACCTGATCAAAAGAGATGCTTTACATTGTGTAAGGCAAATGGTTGTCACATGAAATACTGATTGGCTTTCTGATCATTTGTCTCTAAACATTGCTGTTTTTTAAGGATATTTTCGCTGTCTAAGTGAACATTTTTGCCTTTCTGCTATATTCTGTCCTGCAGTGTGAACCAGCACATCAATGGGGGGTTCTCTGTAATTTCCCAGTAGTAAAACAAAAAGGGAAAGATCCTTTTTACCCATTTGCATATGGGTCTATGATTTAATGTAAAGACTTTCATCCCCTGTGCATAGGGTGTTTGGGAGTTGGATGTGCAGGCCGCACTCACTGATCTCGAGTGTTGGCCACACTGCTCTCAGTTCCTATTAAGTGTTTTAGATAATCGAGACTTAAGGAGACCTACAGCTCGCAGAGTAGAAAGCTCCTCAGACCTTATGCTGCTGGAAGAAATGATGGATGTAATATCTCCTGAACGTCCTTCCTTCTTTGAGCTAGACCCTTTACTGGGTGATTGGGAGAGATGGAAAGCGATTGCTATTGTTTTATTAGGTTTCAAATGAAGACCTTTAATTTACAAAGCCATTTTCTTTTGTAAGATGTGGATTTTGTATATTAAAGGAATTGTTTTTTTCTACAGTAATAAACTATAGACCACATTAACGTTGACATGTTCCAGTGGGAATGCAGTGACCAATGAAATAATTCAGACACTCTTCACATTGTCTATTTGTAGTCTTTAGATTAACTTTTTTCAATTGTTATTGTTGTTGCAATGCGCAAATACAATTGTAAAAAGGGCTGTAGTGAATTCTAGTTTTATTCTAGTAAACATGGTTTGCAAGATGATAGCACATGTACCTGAAATGAAGGCAGAATGATGGCAAGCAAAACTGGAATGGTTACATTTAGGGCTGCACGATATTGGAAAAATCTGACATTGCGATATTTTCTTTTGCTACTATATGTATTGCGATATGAATTCAATTTAAGTTAAACGGTGCTTTATGGCTTTCTGGGGAGTTAAACAGTATTCTTTCATTAATTTTTTCGTCAGGGGTCACCACAGTGGAATGAACCGGCAACTTACCCAGCATGTTTTACAAAGTGGATACCCTTTCTGCTGCACCCAGGTACTGGGAAACACCCACTCTCACAAACACACTTATACACTACGGCCAATTTAGTTTATTCAATTCACCTATAGTGGATGCCTTTTGGATTATTGGGGAAACTGAAGCACTCGGAGGAAACTCACACGAACAGATGGAGAACATGCAAACGCCACACAGAAATGCCAACTGACCCAGGCGGGACTCGAACCAGCAACCTTCTTGCTGTGAGGTTAAAGTGCTAACCACTGAGCCCCCGTGTTGCCCCATAGTATATACAAGAATCTAATAATAAGTAATATAACATGGTCATCATTGTATAAATCATTTTAAAATAATTTTTTTTTCTTTTAATGTTTAATAAATAATCTAATTGTGCTAAGTAACTATTGCGGATACTTGTTGCTCAAACTATATATTGTACATGACCTGGATTGGGGTGAGGTTTAGATTCCATGCTGACAAGCCAGTCGTGTAGAACCAAAGGAGTTAAATAGATATAATTTGCTTGACATGTCTATTTGTGTCCTGTTAGGGAAAAAAACGCCATGTTGTCTTTAAAGAGCAAGAAGCTAAATTAATGAGAATTTATGTGCTGATTGTTTGATATAAGTACTTATTTGTATGTGTTTATATAGAGAGAAATTATTTCCCGCAATAGATTTTGCAATATTTTGGTTTTGAGCATGTGATAAATGCTGTGTACAAGAACTGCCCTCTAAACCCTTAACAGCATATAAAAATGCAACATATAACATTTCCGGAATTTTTTTCTTCACTTTTTACAGAAGCAAAATGTTTTGTTGTCTCAACTGGTAAGGGCTTTAAAGAGCAAGGTCTTCTGACGTTTCTTCAAAAGAAACACAGCAAACAATGAGTCATGCATGTGCTACTTCTCTTTTCTAGTTGCAGAAATGGGTAGTTGAGAGAATTTAGAACAACATGCCTAAAGCCCCCCCCCACCTGAACCCACAAATATATTTCCAATATATTCATAAATAAATAATACCAATATAATGCTATCTGTATCTGGCCAGGGGTGACACTGTTGCTCAGTGGTTAGCACTGTCACTTCACAGAAGAAAGGTTGCTGGTTTGAGTCCTATCAGGGTCAGTTGGCATTTCTGTGTGGAGTTTGCATGTTCTCCCTGCGTTCACGTTGGTTTCCTCTGGGTGCTCCGGTTTTCCCCAGTCCAAAGACATGCACTATCGGTAAATATGAGTATGTATAAGTGTTTCCCTGTACTGGGTTGCGTCTGGAAGTGCATCCGCTGTGTAAAATATATGCTAGATAAATTGATGGTTTATTCCGCTGTGGCGACCCCTGATGAATAAAATGACTAAGCTAAAGGAAAATGAATGTATCTAGCCAGTGGCCACTTTAATGACTGTCATAGACATTATAGATTAATGAGCGTAGACAAAGGTGGTGATTCTAGATTTTCTGTTCGAAATACAATTATACCCAATCCCTACCCCACAATTTAACCCTAGCTTTAAACTATTCCCTAATTCAGTGGGGCTTAATAGTAACAATGATGGAAGCACATAGCCCTAATTGTAAGCCTAACAAAAACTGTAAACTTATCATACAATCTGATTTGCTGATCAAACAACATAGATGTTGGGCGTCTTAACATCATCCTACTTGTTGAAATCACACAAAAAAAGCCCAAATAAACTAACAAAAAATTGATATGGCCACACTGCAAGCGCGCACACACACACACACACACACACACACACACACACACACACACACACACACACACACACACTAATTAACTAATTAATTCTAGCAAAATATCAATTTTAAAGTGTGCCCCCTTAGAGCATGAGTGCCCCCTGCCTAAACACCCCCCTTTTACTGTGGTCTAGAACTGCCACTGCATTTTAGGCTTATTTGATTTGTGTGTAGAGACAGTTGCAAGGTCGTATGATCGCGTTAAGGAGCAAAATTTAGCACGTCTTTGCTGACATCTAGTGGATGCAAAACACATTTGTTATGATTGCAGACTTAAGATCCAGTAAGTAATGCAGTTAATTGAAATTATTATTAGATGAAGACTACATTCATAACAGTTGTTTAGTGTCAAAAATGCCTTAGAATATTTGTCTTTTTACAATGATATTGGCAATAACAAACATTTTTTGTGAATCCATATCTGCTGCTGTCAACTATAAAGGTCAGGAATGTTGTTGCATAGGCCGTTATTGTTAAATGGTGGAGTAAAAACTCCCATTTGGCTAAATAAATAGTAGTACTGATATGCTTTACTGTGGAGATTATAATAATTATGTATCAAATTCAGTTTTAATTGAATATTTAAGCACTCAATACTACAGTCTGGCAGTTTAGTGGGTTATAAATAAAGCTTCTCCAAGGAAAGGTTTGGCTTATACTATGGAATACATTGGTGATTTTTGCCTGGCACCAAACAGATTATTTTGAATAGGTTTCGTTCACCTGAGAAGGTTGCTATAGCAACAGTGCGCTGCTGCTGCTGCCTTCTTCATAGGATCAGTATCAGATGTCACACTGAAAAGGATACAAAGCACTATGATTTGTTATTTTTTGTAGCTTTAGTCAGTAGACGAATATGTTACAAAAACCACATGATGAAATAGGTCCTTTAAGATGTATATATAATTAATGCTGATAAGGGCAACAATGACTAATTTCAGTTTAACTTGATCAAAATCTGTTATTGCTGTGTTTATACTGTGCAGACTCTGTGTATGTTCTGTCTTCTAACCCCAACATTATCTCTAAGCCCAACCCTCATAGAAAATCATAGAGTATTGCATTTTCAAAATACTTAATTCTGAGTGATTTTAGGAGTCATTTTCCTCATGGGAACCTAACAAAATGCACTGGTATTGCTTTACATGAGAGTACTTTTGAAAATGAGTACCACAAGCAGACAGCAATACAATGTTGTTTAATTAAAGTTAAATTAAAGTTGTCATATGCTGTGGTTTATTAAACGGATAGCTCAGGCGAAAATATTAATTCTGTTTGAGATTACTCATCTTTTACTTGTTTCATACCTGTTTCACACAACAAAATATATTTTAAAGAAAGTTGATAACTGATAAGCATTGACTTCCATAGTATTTTTATTTTTTTATTGTTGATGAATGGGAAAAAAGGTGTTTCAACCCTGATTGTCTTTTTAAAATATCCTCTGTGTTAAAGTTCATGTCACTTATCACTTCTTTTCTTCAGTTTTTCTTGAGAATCTCTCTTGCATCCCAGATGAAAACAAATAAGGTACACTCTTTGTGTTTAATCTATTATTGTATATTCATGTTGTCTTAATCATCCCATTCTCTTCTTATCATGGTCTGAAGGATAAAGCTGTTCCTAAACACAGTCCAGAAATGGCCATTAAGTCAATAATCAATAAGAGTTTGATGTGATCGACTTTCTTTGTCTGGAAGTCCTAGAGATAAAAGAAAACAATCTCTTCATTTGTATGATTATTTATAACTCTACTAAATATTTGTTTCGCTCCTTTAATTTTCCCTTCTGATTCCCATATTCCTAGCTGGATGATCAGAATTTTATAAAGTACACATGATAGATACAGGTAATAACTAAGAAAGAAATGTTACAGACTTTACAGCAGAAAAGGAGCTGTGTTGACCCACCATAGATCTCTATATTCCTCTCATCCTGACTAGTAGATGAATTGAGAAAATAGGTTCATTAAACTCTTCAGCCTTGTTTACTAATCAGAGCCTTTGTGTGTTTTTTTAATCTAATAATTTTATATCACTTTTACTAGGATAATTCTGGGGCAAGTTCGATGTTTCCCATGTTTTAAGAGCGGCAAACCAATCTGGTTCTAGCACTGCAATGGCATGGATTTTGCTGATGGGACTACTTGACATAGATACGCTCTAACAGATCAATTTGAGAGGTGAGTCTTCTGTTTATCCTATTTGTCACCTGTAGGGCAAAGATCTGCCTAATGCATACAATCAAGTTTTTCTAAACTAGAACTTTCTCAGTATTATTTTTGTCTCTTTCTCCTGCAAAAAAATCAGGTGGAGAATTAAAAGTTGCAAAAGGAGAGCAATGTCAAGCCCTTGATGGTGAAAGTCAAGGCAATCACTGGGTGAGCTTTTTTTTTTTTTAAATGTTTATGTAGTTATTTTAAGCTTTAAAGACTGTGCTACAGTATGTCTTAGTAATATAGTGATGAATATAGGATATTAAATCCTTATATATTCACCCCTTTACAACCTAGGAATGTAAATTTTCACTTATTAGCCTTATGTACATGTGTATAGTTCAGTAGCAAAGTTGAAACTGTTTGCAAAGGAAAAAATAAGCAAATGATCAATTTATTAATTGTGGGTTGCACGATTGCCTCACAACAAGGTAACTGCCACAACACCAGCCACTGCCAATTCACTAGCCACAAGGGCAGCATAGCTGCACCCGGAAGTAAGGAGATCCACACATTACTTTTTTTTTGTCATTATTATGATTTATTGTGACAAACAAGCATATGTTTTAATACATTCATAACCGTGTTCATGTTTTAAAATAAAAAACGCTAAATTTGGCTATTTATAATCCTTAATAATAACTCCTGTATAGCAGTTCCACAACATTCTGACACTCGAATACCCTGTCAGTAATATCTAGTGGCTGGAAATGACCTTTTTACGGTGTCTGCTATAATGTAAATGTAGTTTTTGGTGTGTTTACATGGATGAATATGGCCACTGCGTAAATGCACAGTACTGTTACAATCTTATTGCTACATTAGATCATTATGATAACATGATATATGCCTTAGGGGATTTCCTGAAGATAAATAGCCTACCAAAAAATAACACAACTGAAATAACTATAGCAGTCACGATCGTCTGATCTTATATGAAGCAAAAGATCATGATGACATATGATGACGTGTGCAGGTGCTGTAATGATGTCCCATTTCTTAGGTGTTTATTTTGAAGCCGTTTATACTGTTTCAAAGGCCAAGGGGAAGGAGTAGGGGTAGGGGTACAAAAATAGAATTGGGATTGGGCCTATACCTACAGACAGTTCTGTCCAAACAGCTTAGAAAAGTAAATTTTTTATCCTTTTATTTTATTTTTTTATCCTAGGTGCCCTTTAAGTGAAATGCGTATGCAATATGCATCTTTATTTTTTATAAATACAAGGCTAAACATCATTTGCCTATATATTAGCATGTATTTTACTGGCATATATGGCGTATATGTGTCATATATGTGTCAATTTTGACACTTATATTTATGTAAGGAAACAAAATATATTGTAATACTGTAAATATATATATATATATATCTATATATATATATATATATATATATATGCATTATATATATATGCATTAGGGATGTGCGGAGCAGCCGGTATTTGTATTTGTATTTGTTGAGGGGGGAAAAGTATTTGTATTTGTATTCGAGTAAAATTCAAAATGGCGCAAAAATATATATATATTTTTTCTATTACACTTCTAATTTACGTTATAGTGAAAGTATTGTTTAATTATACCCATTATATAAATTAGATATGCAATATTGGCTGTTGTTTTTGAACATGTGATAAGAAATGTCATTGAAAAGAAAATAACATAGAAGCCATTATCTCATCCATGGTTAAACCAACAACTAATAAAATACCATTGTGAATATTATGAACCCCACCACCACCGTTCTTGTTGAAGGACACTGAATAGACAGAATAAAAACGACCGACGGTCTCCCCCGATGGCCCGCGCTCACACCATATCGGGCCTCGGCACGCTTACGTCATCGCTGCTGCTCTGTTCAGTGAGAAGCGCTCTTTATGGCAAGCCTTTTTAGCATTTAAATCTTTGTTCTGACTCCATAAATATATTAGAGATATCTCTAATTATATTTTGACTAGTCATAATTATAATTCCACTACTCAGAATGACAATTAGACATATCTGCAATTACAATTGTACTAGAACGAAATCAGATGAATTTTGACAAGTAACAATTGTAATTGATATCTCTGAGTTTTTACTAGTCATAATACATTTAGAGATATTTACAAATATATTTGAAGATATCTCTAATTAATTTACTAAAAGTCTAATTACAGTTGTATATCTTGAATTGGATTTTTGACTAGTCAAAATTCGTTTGGAGATATATCTAATTACAATTGTGACTAGTCAAAACTTATTTAGAGATATCTGCAAATATTTTTCAATGGAAGTCAATAGAGGAATATAACTAGTCAGTCATAATATATTTGCAGATATTTCCAATCTGACTAGTCAAATTATATTATGACAAGTCAAAATATAATTAGAGATATCTCTAAATATATTTATGGATAGTCAGAACAAGGTTTAAATGCTAAAACGGCTTGCCATACACTCTCACCTAGTAGCACAGTGGAGAGTTCTCTAGTTATATCCTTTCAGTCCTTTGTTATGCATTGACATGCAGTCAAATATTTCGCCAAACAGTCCTTAGGGATGCGGCGACAAGCAGTCAGATATTTTACCGGACAGATCCGCCACTTTTGGCGCGCATAAACAATCATAAAGTCCTCGTGCTGCAGGAATGAGGAGGTCTGCTGAAGGCGCGCAGCTGACGTGCAGTGAGAGGTTTGCGTCTTTAATAAACCACGGCAGTTTGCGATCACTGAACAGTAAGAATGATTAATAAATCCATATGAAACAACCCCTTAAAAGTCACGTCTCGCTTTCAGTTTCGGGCTTTGGCGCGTTTTGTACTAAGCGTGTCTCTCGCCTCCGTGAAGTTGGCACCCCATAGAAACAAATAATCCCCAAAACTATGCCATTCGTTTGTGCTACGTTTGTGCTGATTTGTGCCGCAAAAACGAACGTTTGTGCTGGTTTGGGGTCTGAGATATTAAGCATTATTTTTTTTACCGTGTGACGTCACTCTCCACCCCATGTTGCGCAATTGACTTCAAAACAGCACAGGTCGTTTGTGCTCGGTTTGTGCTGGTTTGTGCCGTTAAAACGAATACGGTATCCGTTTTCCTCTTTTAGATATAAGCTAAATATTTCGGGAGCCGTGACGTCACTCTCCACCCCATTTCCTCCAAATCGCACAAAACTGGTGAGAATTGTATTAAAGTGTGATCAAATTATTGCTTGTTAATTAGTAAACATGGATCATAATGTACATCATGTTACATAAACCTGTATTATAAATACACCAATATTGAAGAGGTTTAATTATTTGAAGGCATTAAAAAAAGCCATCTGCTTATAAAAAATAAACTTTTCATTGAGAAATCACTAAAAGTCTGACCTAAATGTGATATAAAAGGTTTTTGCATACTGTTTTAGATTTTAGAAATAAAATTCTGCCATGTGAGAGGGAAAAATCAGCAATTTACACACATAATTTATTATTTACTTCACATTTCTTTTGGACAGATTCATCTAAAACAAAATTCCCATTCATTTTCAATGTGGGGTCAGCAACTACAGTAAGATCAGCTTTAAACATGTTCGATCAACAATCCGTCTCTCAATGACTTTCAAATCCAAGCTTATTTAATATGAGATGTGTTGATCTGAGATGCTGTACAATTGACACACAAAGCACAATTGAGTTTGTATTTATTCCTTTTCACCACACATTTTAAAGGATTTTCACAATACCTTTAAAGGTTTTTGAGTCAGACAGCTCCAACTTATTAATAACAATAACACAACTCATATCTACATTTACATTTACATTTAGTCATTTAGCAGACGCTTTTATCCAAAGCGACTTACAAATGAGGACAAGGAAGCAATTTACACAACTAAGAGCAACAATGAATAAGTACTAAAGGCAAGTTTCAGGTCTGTAAAGTCTAAGAAGGGAAGTGTTAGTAGTTTTTTTTTTTTTTTTTTTTTTTTTTTTTTTTGTACAGTTAGTGTGATATTCAAATAGGCAATTGCAGATTAGGAAGTGAAGTGGAGACTAAATAGTTGAGTTTTTAGTCGTTTCTTGAAAATAGCGAGTGACTCTGCTGTTCTGATGCAGTTAGGGAGTTCATTCCACCAACTGGGCAGATTGAGCGTGAGCGTCAATTCTTTCAAAATACCTGATTTATTACACCTGAAGATGAAACAAACGAATCACAATATTTATAATACATCACAATAGTCAGCGCTGAGAAGGCAAATGCTTTAGGTGTTAATTTAAATATGAATAATACACACACACACACACACATATTTAATAAAAGAAATCCAACAAACTCAACAATTATTGAATTATTTAAGTCCTCACAAAGGAATTATGTGGCAGCAGTGTGTGAATATCAGTCGCTGGTGATTATAACTCCAGCAGGTCATTTTGAATAAGGCTCTAAGGTCAAGTATAGGAGCGGTACTAACAGTGTACATATATATGTGTGCATATATACTGCTTATGGTCGCAAGAAGTGAAGAGTGTTGTACACAGTATGGTGTCCCCTTCACGTTTACTGGGACATCAGGACTCACACAATCTCTCTAACAGCACTTCCACCAGCAACACTGACCATCTATACCAGGGGTGGCGAACCCGCGGCTCGCGAGCCGCTTGCGGCTCTTTTACTGCTCTTGTGCGGCTCAACCTCTCGCGCGATTTAACATACATTAACCAATTGACTAACGCCCCATTCACACGGGGCTTCTGCGTCTCTTTCTGCTTTTGTGCGGCTCAACCTCTTGCGCGATTTAACATATAATAACCAATTGACTAATGCCCCATTCACACGGGGCTTCACGTTGCTCGTTGCAGAAGCTGGGAGTAGCTCAACTTTTCAAGCGCTTACGGACGCGTTAGCCAATCAGATCGCTGTATGCAAATACACCTGCTAGAAAGTGGCCTATTGCTGACTGAATTTTATTTTCTGACGCTTCCATTCAGACACGCCTTCAGTCAAGGGTTGACACTGAAGCCCCGTTTGATTGGGGCGCAACACGAGTGACGTGCAGTTCGTTAATATCAATCGTCATGGCAGAGTCAGGAAAACGTACAGCTAAGCGTAAATACGAAGATGAGGGCAGAACATTTTTATCTGAATGGGATTTTACACTGAAACTAGTGAAATCAAAGCATCGCTTTGTTCTTACTGACACACATGTGAAAGAGTTACTACGAGTAGCCACAACTGAATACGAGCCAGACCTGAAAAAGATTGTGGAAACCAAGGAATGTCAGGTGTCCCACTGAGTCAAGTAAAATGAGGTAGGCTAATTTAAATCCATGAAAACTATTGCGTTATATAATTAGGTGTATAAGTTATTGTGACAGATATACTGTTGTTTGCACATCTGTTGTGTGGCTCTTTGCAGTGATAAAGTTTTTTTTTTTTGGCTCATCATGCCAAACAGGTTCGCCACCCCTGATCTATACTGACCAGCCCTGCTTAGCTTCAGAGAGTCTTGTGCTGCAGGGTGAGATTGCTGTGGTGGTTGGTTGACAGTGTGAAGTGAAGATCGCTGTGTGTGTCTCTGTTTGACATTTACATGTTTTACATACATTTTTCTGAATTGATATACATGCGAGGGTGACATGGTGGCGCAGTGGGTAGTGCTGTCGGCTCATAGCAAGAAGGTTGCTGGTTCGAGTCCTGGCTGGGTCAGTTGTCATTTCTTGTTGGCGTGGGTCTCTGGATGCAGCCTTTATGATGCAAGCTGAGACTGCATCACTCAGAGATGCAACGTCAGACACAGTGCACTCAAATAGAGCTAGTGACATCATTGTAAGGGGTGGGGTTAGGTGAGCGCATTATAAAGCATTAGATGCAGCTCACATTGCACTGCACCAGGTCTGCATCCCGGTTTCCCCCACAGTCCAAACACATGCGCTATAGGGGAACTGAATAACTGCCACAGTGAATTACGCTACATGAATGGACCAAGTCTGGCTTCCATACAAGAGGCAAACATGGACCATATCTGGACCGAGTCTCAGCCAGGTTAATAACCCATAACTGGGCCTGAACTGGGCCAGATATGTTGGTGTGTTGCGACTGCAATGTTTTTATAAACCCATGAAGCATTTCGCATTACGGCTGAGCTTTTTCTTGAAGCCACCTGATTGACGGAATTTTTTCTTTACTCAAAAATAATTTAAATGTGTTTTAAAAGTGGGTCAAGATAGACCAAACTTACATGGCCCACATATACATTTAAACATCTGGGCCAAATACTACATTTGATATCTGGCCCAAGTCCTGTGTGCCGCCTGTAAGACGGTGCCACCTCAGCTAAACCTGGGCCATGTTGGCCCACATGCTGCATGCCAGTGCTGGACGAATGCCTGCTGTGCCAGCTTTATACCAAATCTGGGCCAGAATTCTTTGCTACCCGGGAATATTAACTTTGATCTAAACCATACCGGTCATCTGCTGCATAAAATATGTGCAGGATAAGTTGGTGGTTCATTCCGCTGTGGTGAACTCTGTGAAATCAGAATTATTCGCCCGCCTGTCAATTGTTGTTTTCTTTTTAAAATATTTCCTAAAGGATGTTTAACAGAGTCAGGCATTTTCACAACAAACTCTTCATGTACTCTCAATATACAAGACTATATTTAGAATAACAAAGTGCTTAAATGATTCAAAATGAGAATAAAACAGAACTGACAGCAAACTCACCGTTATCCAGCTCATACTCAGAGGCTCCAGGGAAATATTAGCAGTGTTTAGGAGACAATATCTGCATGAGGGACCACTTAAAGGGAGCGTTCACCCAGAAATAGAACTTCTGTGGTCATTTTCTTCTGTTGACCACAAGGGAAGATGAACTGAAGAATGTTGCAAACGCATGACCACTGACATCCATAGTAGAATAAACAAATAGTGTGGAAGTCAATGGCTATTCTTCAAAATATCCACTTTTGTGTTCAACAACAAACTCAAGCTAGTTTTGAACAAGTCTGGAATGAGTAAATAATGGCAAACCTTTCATTTGTGGAAATACAATCAACTTTATTCAGAGCAAAGTTCACACTGCCTCTGTAATGCTGATACTGCAGGATATCGATGGTAAGATCATCTGAAGAGGATGTGTTGTTTCTCCAGAGATTATGAGGATGATGATTAAATAAATCCACCATGAATGAGTTGAACACCGGCACTCTCAACATCTCTGATTTCACCTGTAAAATTCTGTCAGCATTAATCCCTCTTTACTTGTTTATGTGTGTTAGTTTATGTATATGTATGTGTATTATTATTATTATTATTATTATTATTTATTGTTATTAAAAGGCCCTCCACCACCACCTTACTCCTCCTAGATCATTTCTGATATCAGTAATTCTGAGATCTCCCTCATCCACAAAGTCCAGAAAAATACCAGAATTGTTTTCTTGTGGCAGTTTCTGGACTTTGTTTCTGAGCAACTTGGGGCTGTTGCTGTCCATGAAGGATGAGGGAGCTCTCTGATTTCATCTAAAAATATCTTCATTTGTGTTCAGGGGATTTATTTGCCAGATTAGTAATGCTTGCTCATTTCAGCCTAGGGCTGTCCAAACATAACATTACAAATATAGAAGTCTACAATTACTTTAGGGTCAGTGTTAGTAATGCACACATCCACCCACAACACAAACTGAAGAAAACAAGGCCCTCCACCACCCCCTACTCCTCCTAGATCATTTCTGATATCAGTAATTCTGAAATCTGAGATCTCCCTCATCCTCAAAGTCCAGAAAAATACACAAAAAAGATTTTCCGGCAGTTTCTGGACTTTGTTTCTGAGCAACTTGGGGCTGTTGCTGTCCATGAAGGATGAGGGAGCTCTCTGATTTCATCTAAAGTTCTCTTCATTTGTGTTCAGGGGATTTATTTGCCAGATTAGTAATGCTTGCTCATTTTTTAACAGTTTTGTAATTCATTATTGTTTTAAACCTTCTGCTTATCATATAAACCTGACCCAATGCTTTGTTCTGGTGCTGGTGTTTCTTCATCCTCATCCTCTAGAGGAACAACACGTCCTCCTCAAAATGCACTCAGATTTAACCATCCACATCCTCAGAGTCCATCACGGGTTTCCATTTCTGCCTGCACAGAAGAGGCAGTTTCCTGGCACTGATGACGACGCTGATCCTGCAGTGTTTGGGTCTCAGGACAGACTCTGGATCAGGCTCTGGTTCTGGATCAGTTAGATGTGGGTTCTTCTTGGCTTCTTTATGACGTTTGTGTTGGTTTTTATGAGTTTTTTTATAGAAATGTTTTGTTAATTTTCTGCAGAAGACCTTGCTGCTTTCTGTGTGAAGTCCATACAGAGAAAAACACAAGAGGAAATATAAAAACATGTCTGGCATTTGTCTAGCGCATATTTATATGACATGAGAAGCATCCCAGCGGGCACCTTGATGACAAAACTACATCAGAAACAGCATAAAAATGCAGATCGATTTATGTCAGCTGATTAACTTGACGTGTTTTTGACGCCAGTGTTAGATTTCAATTTGATGTCGTTTAGACGTCAAGCTAGTTTACATGCATTGTAGAGATATTTGTAATTTGTTCTTGAAGCTTTCAGATAAATAAAACATTTCTTATAATACTTTATGTGTCTTTATTTTAGTGGTCAAAAGGACATCAGTGTGTAGATGTCAGGTAGACGTCAAGGTTCTGACATCAAATTGATCAGGGTTTTGGACATGCTTTCTTATGTTGTTTTGACATCAAAGTGAGATCCTAAACCTGGTAAATGTAGTTCCCTTCAGGCTGTGTTGTGTTTACCTTCATCTGTATCGTGTCTCGTCTTCATTCTACGCTCTCTTCATCCAGTCGTGTTGTAAGAACTGATCAAGCGTCATGTTTTGTCTCAGACACTTTGTGATCAGATCTCGGCAGTCTGTACAAGGGGAAAGAAGGTTAATACACTGCTTATAAGACTACATCTTACTTATAAGACTGTATAATATTCACTAAAGCTGACATTTATCAAGATACCTTCTGAAATGTGGGATTAAAAGACTAACAATGACAAGGGCTGTATCCTAAACCGCCCCCTATACCCTTAATAGTGCAGTATTTGCCAAGATGTGCATAAATCTTCAGAATGTGCATAAAAATGTAGGTTTAACTTAAAAAATGAAGGTTATGGAAACACAGCTAGTGTCTGTTCACTCACCTCTCATTAAGCTGGGTGGAAGCGAAATCTTGCCCTTGACTTTAACATCGAAGTAGTTGACCAAGTCTCCGGTCATCATGTAATGCAGCAGGCAGCCTATAGCCCAGGCGCTAGATAAGACTGCTTTATCGTAGTTGTGTGCTTCCACTTTGTAAGCGCAGCCGAAGTCGATCAGCTTGATCTGCATAGTCTTCTTGTTGACCAGGATGTTGTCAGAATGCAGGTCGTTGTGCACGATTCCTTTGTCGATGCAATGCTGGACTGCCAGGACTATTTGTTGCACTAGGCATCGTGCCACAGGTTCGGCCAGCTTGCCCTTCTTGCTTACAAAGTCAGTCAGGACTACACAAGGCTTGGGGTACTCCAGGACCATTGAAATGCATTTAGGTTCATTAAACCACTCGTACATTTCGATTACGTATTTGCACAATGGCGGACGCTTCAGCATGAGCATGATCTCCACTTCTTTAAAAGGTTTGGTAGCTAAACCAGGCTGTGAGAAAGAGAGAACAGGGGTTAGTAGATGCAGATCTGAAGGAAGACTTCATTTAAAAGAGTAGTTCACGCAAAATAAATGTTTTCAGATTTCAGAAAAGCTTTATGCTCTTAATGCTCTAATAGCAATATATTTTGCAGAAGATTTTTCCGATATCGTGCGGCCCTAGTTCAACTGTAATCAAGCAAAGCTCCAAGAACACTTTTGTGCACCAAAACACTGTAAAATGGCTGTGTGTGTGTTTGTCTTCTGCATCAGATCAGGGTTTGTGTTTACTGTGGTCAATGCAACTCTTGCCTGTTGCTCTACTGACTCTAATGGCCATACGCCATGCTGACCATAGTGTTGACCATAGTGAACACACTCTGAGCTGATGCCAACAAGAATACAAGAATTTGTTTGTTGTACAAAAGTGTTCTTGGAGCTTCGTTTGATTACAGTTGAACTACTGGAGATAACTGTTTTGACAATGTTTCTGGTATTTTTTCTAACATTTTGAGTCCCTTGTTGTCTATGAAGGATGAGGGAGCTCTCAGATTTCATCTAACACATCTTCATTTGTGTTCTGGTTATGAACGGAGGTCTCGGGGACGAGGGATTAATAACAGAATTTCCATTTCTGGTAAACTAATGTTTAAATGCATGCTACGTTGCTTTAGTATTTCTGTATTACAGCCACAAACTACAGTAACTGTTCACATTAATCAGATTTCACCACAATATCTGGGCATAAAGGTCAATTTTACAGTAGTTTAGCGATGAAGAACTGCAAAATGACTTTCTTCAACTGGACCATGAGTGAAATGTTCATGCAGATTCACATGACTGGATTTGGCCTTTTGAAATTCAACTACGCAACAGTAAATGTGTCCAAACCATCAACGAATTAAACACAGAGTGATTGTTTTCCAACTTACTACATAGGTGGCATCGTTTCCCTTCTCAATCTGCTTGATGGCAACCTGCAAAGAGGAAATGCAATTATTCTTTTGCTCCCACATATTCTTCATCAACACAGATGCTCAATTAGACAATTAAAGACAGCAAAATGTGTAGTAAGAGAGTTTTACCTTCATGCAATCAGATTTACGGAGCGCTTTTTGCACTGTGCCGAAGGCCCCGCTTCCCAGAATAGCTCCCAGCTTGTAGAAACTTCCTAAAGGTCCTGAAAAAGAAGAGTTTAAGAGCTTTCAGGTCCATCATACTGATATTATCTTACACTAACAAATATATGTTGTATTAGCAAATATTATAGTACTGACGCCTACCATCAGAGGCTCCTAACGCCGAGATCTGGAGCCCCGAAGGTCCAGGGACAGGCTCTTCATCCGAATCTGGCTCTTTATCTGGATCTGCCTCTTCATCTGGATCTGGCTCTTCATCCGAATCTGGCTCTTCATCCTGATCTGGCTCTTTATCCGGATCTGGCTCTTTATCTGGATCTGGCTCTTTATCCGGATCTGGCTCTCGATCTGGGTCCGGCTCTTGATCTGGATCTGGCTCTTCACCCGGATCTGGCTCTCGATCTGGATCTTCACCCGGATCTGGCTCTTGATCTGGATCTGAATCTCCACCCGGATCTGGCTCTTCACCCGGATCTGGCTCTTGATCTGGATCAGACTCTGGATCCGGCTCTGGGTCTTCATCATACTCTTGATCTGGATCTGGCTCTCGATCTGGCTCTTGATCTGGCTCTTGATCTGGCTCTCGATCTGGCTCTCGATCTGGCTCTTGATCTGGCTCTTGATCTGGCTCTGGATCTGGACCCAGCTCATGATCTGGATTGTGCTCTGAATCAGGATCTGGCTCTTGATCTGGATTTGGCTCTTGGTCTGGATTGTGCTCTCGATCTGGACCCGGCTCATGATCTGGATTGTGCTCTGAATCAGGATCTGGCTCTTGATCTGGATTTAACTCTGTATCCGGCTCTTGATCTGGATCAGAATCAGGCTCCCCTTTGTTCCGTCTTCTGCGGAGGAAAGGCTTCTTCATGAGCTTCCACACCCTCCTGAAGAAAGCCTGGATTTTGTTCCTCCTGCTGCCTTGTGTTTGGATTTCTGAAACGAAGGAAAAGAACAAAGAAAAGATCAGAGACGTGACGGTCAGTGATTGTGTTCGCTATTAAGAATATATAAATGTAAAACAGGAAAAATATAAAACATTAAATACATTATTTTAATTTCACAGGACCTTTAAGGAGTATAAATCAGGCCTGTGAGAATAGTTGCTTCATGTCTATAATAAGTGCATTAAACTATCATATTGTGTTGTTGATCTGATGATGTTCAGGTTTGATTTTGCCCTCTGTCTGCAACTTTTGAGCTGCTGATTTTCTCATGATTTGTACTAAGAGCAGCTGAATGTCTGTCATTTCTTTTGTGTGTCTGCAGACGGTCTCACTGGTTGTGTTTTCCTCCACATTGTTATCAGGAGAGGACTCATACGGTGCTGTACTGTCATCAGAATGCATTGACCAGTCCTCTTCCAGCCACGGACAGAAGTCGCTGCAGAAGCTGATGATCTCCAAAAGTGAGCCTGCATGACAAAACCAGTCTTAATAGTCAATAATCAGAAACGGAGATTAATGCAAACACTTTACTGGACTCATCATGATACTGTCTCATAAATATGGATGAGAGTTTATGCATGCTTATGACTGTCAACTATTACAACAGTCACCTGTGTGCCTTTGTTACCTGTATTACTGTAACTTGACATAAACAAATACATCATAACCTGTTATTGTCAGGAAAATTCACCAAGACAACATAACATGTCATAAATCTGTCATCAACATGATTGGCATGAGGCCGTTCTATTTTAAAATCACATTATTTCTCATTTTGTTTCATATATAATGTGTCTAATTTCATTTATACATTTATTTTAATCCTCCAATACACTCATAGATCTCCTCACCCAGTTTATAAAATGGTTTAAATGTAAGACAGCTTACCTGTTGTGTTTTTCTCAAGTGCTGTACCGGCATCGGAAACCACAGTCCAGTCCTCCTCGTCCAGCCAGGGACAGAAGTTACTGCAGAAGCTGATGGTCTCCAAAAATGACCCTGGACACCAAAATCAGTCATAATGGTCAGTTTATCAATAATAAAATATATGAATGAAAATCTTCATGGATCAAAGTCTGTGTAAAACCCATTATTGATCATTTCTCATTTGTGTTTAAGAGTGTTTTAGTCATTTAAGTCTAGTGGCTGCTGACAAACTCACCGGTTGTGTTTTTCTCCACATTATTATCAGTAGCGGGTTCACCGGCATCCGAAACCACAGTCCAGTCCTCCTCGTCCAGCCAGGAACAGAAGTTACTGCAGAAGCTGATGGTCTCCAAAAATGAACCTGAAAAACAAAATCAGTCATGAGGGTCAATTTTCAGAAACTTTCTGAACTATTAACAAAACTTCTCCATGGAAAATGATGAACTATTCCTTAATGCACTGAAGATTGCTGCACGAACAGAAAATCATCCATTTTGACTCATACAATGAATTTCTGGCGTTCCAAAACATTTATTTATTAAATTATATATATATATAGTTCACAGTATGTCTGATAATATTTGATAATGTTTGTTCTTCTGGAGAAAGTCTTATTCCTTTTATTTAGGTTAGAATAAAAGCAGTTTTTAATAGTTTAAACAGCATTTTAAGCTCAATGTTATTCGCCCCTTTAACACTATTATGTGCAGAAATGTGCTGGAGAAATCTGCTCTCCGCTACACAGAAAATAAGGGAAAAAATGAACAGGGGGGCGAATAATTCAGACTTCAACTGTACATATATATATATATGTGTGTGTGTGTGTGTGTGTGTAAGTGTGATATCTGCATTTTCTAATAGGACACATCCTGAGGGGGTTAAGATAGTGCTGGATGTGTATTGATTGTTTTGGCTAGGCCCAGTGAATAGAAAA